TCCTCTCCTCTCCTCTCCTCTCCTCTCCTCTCCTCTCCTAACAGCTGACAAAATTGAGCCATTTGACCCATTTTTACTCTCAGGAGGGGGTGGCCATTCAATGCTTGTACCCTATGATACACTGACTGCCAAGGAGAAGACCAAATTCAGAGAAAGAGCTCAGGATGTCCTCAAGTTCCTCCAGCTCAATGGTTACACTGTGTGGAGGTGAGTAAAGAATAAGCTCATGATTGCACAATGTCAGTGGGATACAGTATGTATTAGTTCGAAGGCAATAAGCTGCTCCATTTTCATGTCATAAGGATATTGCTTTCTTAACATTGTTTAGAAGGCATCATAGCAATCAGAACCCAGTCTCTTTTTGTAATAACCTGTAGTACAGGTCACAACCTGAAATGCATCACTACCGCTGAATAAAATAATTGCCTTTGTCTTTCTGTTGCAACATTGCTTTGAAAGTCTTGCAATAAAATACGTAGTTCAGAATACACTGTCTTTTACTGTTTGATTTCACTCTGTAGGGATCGGAAGACGGTGGAAATGGACTTTCCAGCCATGGCCAGCTGCTTTGGCTACACTCTGCTTCAGCGGCTGCTGTCTCACACTGAGGAGGCTCAAGAGAATGTGCTGAAGCTTGGTAACATCATAGTATATATGAGTGCAGTGACCAAAAGTGGTGGATAGAAAATAGAAACGCATACAAGACTTCTGCAAACCACAAGCATATGCATACTAGTGTGATACTGTAAGGATTTAAACGGGTCACTGGGCCTTCTAAGTGGACCTTAAGTCTTTACAGATCATTTTTTGAATAATGATTAACGGCCTTTTAAGTCTGCAGTTAGAAAGTCTGCCCCAGGGTAGTTTGACTGTTACGATCACAGAATAGTTGCCACCAGTTCCGAGTATGCAAACGTGTCTTATGTACGTGAATATTATGTAGAAACACATTTGTTATAATATTATACTATACATATACTTATCCATAGTATCATGACATTTTAGTGTTTAATTGCATATGATTGATTTATCAGTATTTATTTTTTTTCCAGAGGTGATGCAAGCCAGAGGACAGATGTCTAAAGGAGAGAAGGCTCCACACCAGCAACCAATAATATTCTTTCACAAGGTTTGCCTCAGCTCGAATGGATATCTGAACAGTCGAAGGCTGCCCTCTGATAAGAAATCTCTGACATTGATTTAGCCCCTTTCCAATTTCATTTTACCAGTGCCATTTTATTTCTTCTCATTTCCCTTTTTTCTTATTTCATTTATGTCAACTAATTAGTTTTGTTGAATGGTTGCCATGGGCAACCCCTCTAAGTAAAACCCTTTGTGGCTGTGTAATTTATTTAACCATTTTGGAAATCCATGTGGGCGTGTCGATTGCCATCAGGACATTGATTAAAGCTTCCCACACTGCTCTGCCTCGAAGGAGGCAGCGAATAAAAAGGGTTTATTTTTCATTGATGGGACCCCCTGAGCCAGACCCAGTCAGCCAAGACCATGAATAGTGAAGCCTCACATCTCTACGCCCCGTACCTCCCACTCAACCACACTCTCACATGGCCACACACGCCCGTGTCTGTCTGGCTGTTCATCGGTCTGTGAATTGGCAGTGCTTCATACTTGTCGGGTTTATCATTGAACTCGTGTTAACCAGACAGCAGGCATTGCCTAATGTCTGGGAATTTTTAAAAAATTCTCGGCATGATCACCAGAGTTCAAACTTTCAAGCTGAACTGGGGAATCGAAGTGTTGAACAAGAGTTCTACTGTATATTTGATACAATGGTGCTCGATGCATAAAAAATTTCTGTTACAACTATTTCTCCCAGCAACAGTTAAATGAAGCATCGGTCCGAGCAGGCACGCTATGTTTGGGATGTTGTCAAACATGTATTTATTTTTTTAAATAAAACTTTGAAGCTCGTAAGGAAATTTAAGGAGAATGTAGGTAATACATGTCGGTTTATGAAGTGACCATTGTCTGTTACTTCTTTCAATAGGTTGTCCTTCCTCTTTTGGAACAGTACATGAAAAGCCATCATCTGTACTTCCTGTCCACTTCTCTCTGCTCAAGTGATAATAAAAGCCATGCATCAAAAAAGGAAAAGGAGATGGTTGCATGGTATGTGTCATCCCAAACAAAACACAGCACTTTTTTCATAATTTATTTAAAAAAATTTTGTGCTCATGTACATAAGTTCCTTTTGGGTCACAAGTTTTGCATGATAAATGAACAGTTTTATGATTTTAGAGAAAAAGCCTCATTATACTGTGCTGTCATTTCTTCTGATTTTGTGTCCTGCAATTACTTTTCCACTCCTCTCTCCTCATTATTTCACTTGTATTTTCTGCTCACATCCAGCCTCTTTTGTAAGCTTGCAGCTCTAGTAAGACACAGGATCTCACTCTTTGGTAAGGAAGGTGTGGAAATGAAGCTTATTCTGACATTAATTTGTCCCGCTTGTTCTTTTGTTTGTCGCTTGCTTGTGTTGCTCTTTGGTTGTCCACAGTGTGTCTGTTTAATGTTCAAATTTTTGTCTCTGCTTTAGTTCCGATGTAACTGTTAAGATCATCTGACTCATGTGTTTACTGATGTTTGTGTGTGTGTGTGTGTGTGTGTGCACGTGTTTTCTCAGGAAACGAAGCCTCTTCAGTTGCAAGTTGCCTTCACGTTTTGGCTCAAGCTCTTGATGCCAGGTAGCTAGATGGCACTACTGTCACACTCTGCTTAAATCGATCTTCTCGCTCTGCCTGCAGTCACATCAGTGTTGCACCACCATGTCTAAGGATGAGATGACTGGTGTAATTGAGCCACTGATACACTGATGCTATCTAATTGTAGCTGATATCACTTTTACTCCCCGAGGACGGTGCCTCTGAAGCATGACGCTAGTACGATTTTTTAGCTCAGAAGAGATTGATGCCATTTAAACTTGTCTGATGGATAGATTAGCAACTGATTTAGTCCATTTATTATAGCCAGCCAAAAGAAACACGGCATGAAACCTGTAATGTTTAGATTTATCAACATTTTTCCATTAATATTGTTCCTTTTACACTATCTGTTTTTGTAGAAAACAAATCAGTGATTACTTTTTTAATTACATGGTGCATATTAAGAAATGTTTGCAAATCAAAGAAGTTGTGTTTCTTTCGTCAACTTTTTTGATCCTAGAACACTGATGAAGTCAGCTCCGGAGTCTATCCACACGTCCCTGAATTCATTTTTCGAGGCGGCCGCAGCTGATTTGGAGATGACTGTGGAAAAGCTTTCTGAGACCTTGGTCTGCTTGCCTCAGAGTAGGAGTCAACTGACCAGAGGAATACCCAAGATTCTCAACTACACGATCTCAATTCTTATCCCCACCCTCACGTCGCTCTTCCGTCATCTTGGAAACCAAAACTATGGAGTGGACCTCCTGGGTAAGGGCTACTTTTGTGAAGGAGGAATGTGTCATATTGTTGTATAATTCCTAAAAACACAGTTGCATATGTAGCTTGTTGAGATACCTTCCTTTATCATATCGGTAAACATACAGCCGTCATGTGCATTTCAAGTAGTCTCATTCGCTTACTTCCATCTGCCTAGGAGTTGGATGAACAGCTGGGAAATCACTTGGGGACTCCCTCCCCTCAACTCCTTACCTTCCATGTCTTTGAAACCAGCTCTCATTAAGTGTCTTAGTCATGACCACAGAACAGCAGGACCATATTGTCTCCCTCACTAATATCCTGACCTTCCACGAATCATTCATTAACTGAATCAGCAGGCATCCAGCTAGTCCATCTCACCGTGATTGAACGCTATCAGCTTTCGTACTTGGTGTCATTGGCTGTTTCTGAGAGAAAACCGAGAGAAGGATCTCAGCTTTAAGTCTTACCTTGTCTTTCCAGTTGGCGGTGTCCAGGTTTCCTGTTACAGGATCTTGAACAGCCTCTACTCTCTTGGAGTCAGTAGCAGCATTTACATGGACGGGTATTTCCTATGTTGCTATTTTGCTGTTGTTAAATTTAATGTCTTTGCTTGTTTTCTTCACATAACTTTTGTTTAGTAAACTGCTTTTTTGTATGCTACACTTAAAGTTTGTGTTAGAAATGCATTAAGGCCAGAGTATGATACAAGAAAATGTTTGAACCTGAGATACAAAGAAAGCAGCTTGTGAGTAAACCTACATCAGTAAAATTACCTTAAAGAGTTTATTAAGATTTGAACATAAGTCAGTCATACCCTTGTCCACGTTCTAACACTGCGTTTCCATACAGACACAGGTCGGCAGCAGGAGCTTGTTTGGCAGCCCTGACTGGGGCTTTTCCAGTATGCTTCCTGGAGCCAGTGCTAAACCAAAACAACCCTTACTCCATCTACAATACCATGAATGCTACTGAGAAAAAAGGTATTAAACACAATGTGTGCACTCTGACTTTTTTTTTTAGATTTATCCATTTAGTGTTGGAAACTTTCAGTGACTCTTACTTCTGCTAGACCAGGGGCTGCCAGATCAGGTTGAGGACATGTGTCCCCTCCTGCCTTCTCTGGGACAGGCACTCTGGGAAGTGGAGGAGTTGGCAGGTGCCGGCGCTGGAGCTCGCCAGGCCCACTACATCCATGTCACAGAGGTCACCTTGCCCATGTTGTGCAGCTACATTTCCCATTGGTGCCACTTGGGCCCTGAGGGCCAGCCAGGCAGCTCAATCTGCACCTGTGTCATTCCTCAGCATGCTAGTGACCTACTTGGCCACATCCTCCGTATCATCCACAACCATGTGGGTGCTAGCCAGGGTGACTGGATGAAACAGCTGGCAGGTATCGTGGTCATGCACAATCCTGTGCTTGTGGTGTGAATATATTTATTTCACATCAATAACGAATACTATTAACATCTGTCCTTCATATCTGTCAGTTTTTTCGCAGCCCATCCTATGCAAAGCCCGCACTGAGCTGTTGAAGAGCCACTTTCTGCCACTGATGGAGAAGTTGAGAAAGAGAGCAGAATGTGTGTTGCTGGAGGAGGAGCAGATGAAAGCAGAGGGGTGTTGTACCTCTGAAGCAGAGCTGCAGATACAGGAGAAGTTCACTGTGCTGGTCCGAGACCTCTACGCCTTCTATCCCCTTCTCATCCCATTTGTGGATTCTAATCGGTAGGGCATCAACCAGAGAAGCTTAGCTGTTGAGAAGTAAGCTTGTGTTCTGAGGTCAGAAACTCCAGGAGTAACTTAAAGTATTTGTAGACTCAGTTGAAAGCGAAACCTGTTTTACTATATTTTATATGGACATAAACCCCACAGACAATCCCTCAAAAACCGTTTGAACCTCAAATTTTGCGTTTAAATATTTGTTTGGATAATAAAACATTTTGGAGATTAAGTTTAGCAGCTATTGGTTAATTGTGACAGTAAAAAAAATTAAAATTTTATTAAAGGCACAAAAAGAAGAAAGCACATGGCTTTACGTGCTTGTTTTAGTTCTTATTTGAGGCATATGTTTAGCTTTACAGGAGTAAATTCTGTGATGTTAATGTGTTTTGTTCTGCCTTGTTTCAGAGCCAGATGGCTGAAAGAGCCGAACCCGGAGGCTGAGCAGCTGTTCAGCATGGTGGCAGAGGTCTTTATGTTCTGGGCCAAATCTCATGTGAGAGTGACACATAGTGTTTTTAATTCATTCTTTTCACGTCAGTACTATGCAGGTGAATATCGGACAATAGAAACCATGTGTGCTTTCTTCACCTGTGTTTTCTGAAACAGAATTTCAAATGGGAGGAGCAGAATTACGTGGTTCAAAATGAAATCAACAACTTGGCTTTCTTGGTCAATAATGAGAAAATGTCCAAGGTCAGCCATATTTATAGTTTTATCTAATTATTATGTGTGCACTAATATGCAAGAACTACATCACTTGTATGGAAATCACAAAAATATTGCAACTGTCAAAAAGTTAACATATCTTCACTGCTTTCCGGTATTTAGTTTGACCATGACAGGAGGAGGGTGAAGAGGAAGGGGGATCGCTATTCCACACAAACCTCTCTCATTGTGGCTTCTGTAAAGAGGCTGGTACCTGTGGGACTCAGGGTTTGTTTTCCAAGCGACCAGAGCCTTATCATGTTGGCTAAGAACAGCTTCTCTCAGGTCAGTTGGTAATGTGCACAATATCAATACCGAACACCCTCTCCATTCAAAAACAAGTTACTTCTCTTGGATGTTTGAGCTTCACTGCACAGTACAGTGCACATACGAATACACATTTGATATTAGGATTCTAGCTGGTAGATTTAATGTTGACAATTTTTTTGCTTTCCACAGAAGAACACCGAAGATGAGATTCGAGAACACATTTTCAACTGCCTCATACAACTGCAGAGTCAGGTGAAGGCTGTCGCTGCTTTGGTTGTTATAAACATTTGTACAGTGTATGACTGAGTATTTTCATTTATATAGGAGTATAAATACATCCGTGTGTATTACAGCATGTTGTTCAGGGTTTTCTTACTTTGACATGTACACAGTGGTTGTCTGATTTCCTCTAATGGAGAATCCTCAGAGAACAAACAAAGTGCATCTCTTTTCATACGTTCTGTAGACTTTCTGCATATTTACTGACACGCTCGAGTACATGTAACTTTTAATTTGTTGCAACAAGTGTCTGGTAAATTAAACTGGAGAATGCTCTCGTAGCCTGTAAAATCCAAAGCCTTATTTTTAATAATCTCAGCCAGTGACTCATTGTTCATCAGAGACATGAATGTGACATACTCACCACACTGTATGAAATATGCATGCAGCATTTCCTTATTCATAAGTCAGTGATAGCTATGTTTATTCATAAGTCAGTGATGAAAATTTCTGCTTTGTCATTAGCATAAACAAACTTTTTTAAAAAGAAATTTGATCCTAGCTTTGCATAGCCCTTTGAGCCATCCTTTGTTGGTTTAATGAATTTTTTTTCTTGCCGTGAAGTGGTGGGCAGTAAGACTTCATTGTTGCTCGTTGTATGAGAATTCAAGCCAGGAAATTAAAAGCAATAGAGAAAACAAGGTTCAGGACAACAACTTGATTTCTTAATGATGTTTATTCGCCCACTAATCCTATTCAGTCATTCTTTCATGTGTTTTGATGTGGTAAAGGTGCTTGTTAATGTTTTTTTCTCATTGCATTAAACCATACTTTCCTGAATTAAGGACCTCTTCAGCATCCTTGTAAAAATATTTCAATTGTGTGGTTGAAATACCAGCATCTTGGCACAAAAGAAATAGCGAAGCCTTTTTTTTTCTTTCTACAGGCGTCAAACAGCTTGTGGCAGGAAATCCTTGCAGAACATCCCATGCACCTCGGGGCTATCGATGATGCACAAAGGACTGTAGGCAGGATTCTGGAAATAGGTCGAGTCCTTTATTACCTGGACCAGGTGGGCTTTTCCATTCTATAGAACAAAACATCCCTGATTGACTGTGAGCAGACTCCCCTTTCTTTGCCTTCTTGACCACTGTAATTAAAGGGACATTGAGCACATCCATCCTCTGCAGTCATACAGTAGAGAATTGTGTTTGTTCAGTAAATAAGACTCCCCTAGGTGGGAGTTAGTGTTGCTGAAGTGTCTTTCTCATCTTTCAGCTCTGCCAAGAGGATTATCTTTTATGGATATTTGTTAGCATGTTTTGTTTTTTTCTTAAACTAGATGATTGGTGGAACACAGAGCAGCACTAAAGAGTGATTTCCAAGAGCTGTTGTTTTTAATACAGCTCAGTAATACCTCTGTTCTTCCCTGTCTTGTTAAATATCAACTTGAAGGGCTGAATACATTTTTTTTAGTTAAATTCTGACAAAACCAAGGTTGTTTTCATTGGCCCAGACACCCTGCACATGCAGCCATATATGAGCCTAAGTTCCTTAAACAACAACCTGCTGGCTTCTCCTGTGTCTACATTTAAGATTACCCTTGATGCAAAAACTCTGGAATCACCTGTCAAAAGAACTCAGGCTTGCCAAATAGAAATATTCTTTTAAATCACTTCTTAAAACTCATTTTCATCCCCTATATTATCAACAATAATAATTGAGATGTCTTTGCTGTTGGGTTCAGGTGGAACACCCACAGAGGAATAAAAAACCTGCGTGGCACAAGGTCTTATCCAAACAGAGGAAGCGTGCAGTCGTGGCCTGCCTAAGGATGACACCTCTCTACAATCTACCCAGGTAAAAACACCTCAGCATACATGAATGCTTTCCACTCACAAAAGTGCTCTTAATTGTCAGTTTAATTGCTTATTAAGTATTGGAGAATATTTTTCACTAAATGAGCCTTGACAGAGGTAGACAATATTAATTATAGGTCTTGCAGGGTTTATTTTCTCTTTTGTGTGAGTAGAGCTGTTCGAGCTTCTGAAATGATTCATTCAAAATTAACTTTAAGAGTGAGAAGGAGGAGGGAAATACAATAAAGTGAGGGGTAAAGTCAGTCTTGAGCATTACTGTTTTAGAGTCAGATGTCAGATTCCTTTTATTCCCCTTCAAAACATTATTTTTACAGTTGAGTCAGAAGCAGCAAATATGTTGTTTGAATTTGTACAGTGACACCATGTAACCACAGACTTCTATAGATGTGTAAATGACAGGTCTGCCCTGTGCAGAATGCACCACTGTGATGGAGTGGTAATGTGAAACCCAATTAGGCTTCAGAGCCACACACAGCCATGTCAGGTCCAAAGGGAGCTGCTATTAGCATATGAAAACGCTGTGGCTCTGTGTGCTTTGCAGGTGATATAGGAATATTATTTTGGTGTTTGTATCTAGTGAATTATGGCTGCAGTGATAGCGCTCTTTGCTCTCTGGTGGATTTAACATCCATCACCTTGGATATTTACAGGAGCCCTTGATGAAGGAAATAATGGATCTAATGAAAGCACTTATAAAATTTGATAGTTTTCACCTATGCTGCCTGTTTTTTTTAGTGTTCTATTTGCATTTTTTTTTTAATGATGATAGGTAAAATACAAATCTCTTGTTGTTTTTTACCCCTTTCGTCGTCTTCTCCAGGCACCGAGCTGTCAACCTGTTCCTTCAAGGCTACAATAAGTCCTGGATATCAGCTGAGGACTACAGCTTTGAGGAGATGCTTGTGGAGGATTTAGCTGTGAGTCTAAAAGGAAGCTGTGTTGGAAACAGTAAAAAGGAAACATAAAGTTCTGTCACACTGAGTTCTTGTTGTGGAAATCTACCCTAAATTTTACTACCTTAGCTCTCCTAAAACAAAGCCTATCAGTAACTTTTATTGTTTTGTACCCATAATGCCAGAGACTGCTTTTGGAATATAAACCATTTTACTAATATACACATATTATGTTTAGAAAACAGTTTTCTTGCCTAAAATTAGCCTGAAACTGTAAAGTTTTGAGTTGCATACAAATTCCAGCTACGTTGCTGCGCTTAATTCTAACACAATAACTGCCAGTAGTGTTACACAAATTGTTGGCAGTCAAACATTATTTTTAGGAAGCCACTGCCTGCTTACTTAATTACTTATCCCGTTAACGTCTGTTGGGACAGTAGCAGTGTGTCAGATGATGGACAGTTACTTCGCAGTTCCATTCGCCGTTTATCCCTATCGAGGGCATCATCAGGGGTTAGCGCCCAATCCGGTAGGTCCCCTGCCACCAGCTCCTCCCATGTTTTCCTGGGTCTCCCCCTCTTTCTTTTTCCGGCGACATCCAACTTCCATGACTTTGTTGGAGCAAAGATTTTACGGCTGGATGCCCTTCCTCGCGCCAACCCCCAACCTGGAGGACCAGAGGATCACTCTTGGTCTGATCCCTGCCCTTCGACCTGTTGGGCATGGGTGACCTCACCAGGAGTACCAGGACTCCAGCCGACATAGCTCTAGAGGTCAACGGGACACGCAAACGCGACTTCTCATTTTGGAAACTTAAAGAAAAATGTCTTTTTTGTTTTCTCGTCTAATATTAGAGCCATCTTATCACCATAAACACCCAAGCAAATGGAATATGCATATTCGAGTATACGTCATTTTGTTGGGTTTTCAGGATGAACACACTACATATTCCGGTTAGAAGTAGAACAAATTGTACAGACTTCAGGCAGTTTTTGCAGAGTGATTGCGTTGCATGCTGACTGCAGAGCAGGCTTTCAGGCACAAATACTTGTTGTCAAGTTGACAGGTGGGATGTGGCATTTGACAGCATTATTGTGTCATCATCACCTATCAACACTTTAAACATTTTGAATTTATTGATAACATTAAAACATCAAGGCTTCTGAATGTGTTTCTGTGAGGCTGAGGTCTCAAATACAAATAATTTTTCTCTTCTTATTTCACATTTCCATGATCTTGCCGTGCATGTTTGTATATATGGTGTGCTTTGCAAGAAAGCAGACCGGCAGTGTGTAAACTTTTGTCAGCTACCGAGGGCTGTGGATGGTCGGCATGTGACACGATTTATGGCCACACGTTAGAGGCTTTACTCTCTCCCTGGATTGCAGAAGGGGGGAGTGATGGAACTGTGTGGAGGTGACAAAGGGGAAGAAAAGGATGTGGAAGAAGGTGCCAAACCAATCGATCCCCTTCTACAACTCATTACACTCTTCGGTCGAAGCGCTTTGACGGAAAGCAGGTATGTGTGTGTTCGTTATAAAAGATTGCATGCGGTAAAAAAAAAAAAAAAATATCTAGTCTGCTTTTATTACTGGTCAAACCCATCACCAGGAAAGTCAATACTAACCTGGTCAGAAGTGTGATTTTCTTTTGTCCAACATGTGTGGCCATCGTTCTGTGAAAGCCTGAATTCTGTAATAAGTTTTGCCTCAAATCCAGACCCACCCTGCAGAAATGTTTACTTGTGCACATAATCCTTTTTTTTCATCTATAGTAGTAATCTTTAAAATTGTGGTCACTGCAGTCTTCCAATAATGTTTTTTTTGTGTGTGTTTTTTTGGTCAGTTAAGGCATAGAGCAACTCTCACTGCAGAGAAATCAAATCCGCCAGATTCCAGGTGTACTCTGTTCAATAGAAGTTCAATGCCACTCCTCAGACTTGGATGTAAAATGGTTGCGTTCTGTATCCACACGCTGCTGAGGCTGCTTCAGTGTGGTGCTGCATTCCAAAATATAATCAACCGACCAGGTGTTTACAGACTGCTGCATCTGTCCATACCTTGACATACGGTAATACTGTCTCATTTGTTTTTCTTGTTGACAGTAAGCATGGAAATGACAGTCTCTACAACTCCTATGCTGCTATTATGGCCAAGGTAAGAAAATGTAGAGAATCACCTCATTCATGAGATCTGAATGTTTGTTAATGTTTTGCAGTGTGATGCTAATTATGCATTATTTTACTGTTATCTGTGTGGCAATACGCTGTCAAGAAGTTGTGCAGAAATATAGTCCTGAATCATCTTCCTGGTTCTCAGAAAAAAATCAATATGCAATAGAACAAAAAATCCCTTTCAGAAACAAGATACAGTGAATTCTTGAATGTAGTCTTTATTCTGTTTATTTACTGTGTTCTCTTCCTCTTTCTAAATTACCGCTCTGCTTTGTCTGTTTGTTTTCCAAGAGTTGTTGCAGAGCGAGTGATGACAGTGAAGAAGAGGAGGTGGAAAGCTTTGAAGTGAGTGAATGGTTTTTAAAAATGTACGTTTGATGTCCTTTGCTTACAGTGTTTAATCATAAGGGCTTAACATTATTTTATTATTTAATGTTTTAAGTTATGTTAAATTTTGTTCAATAACTACATGTAGAAAAAACATGAATGGATTTTTCTGTGGCTCAGGAGAAGGAGATGGAGAAACAGAAGCTGCTTTACCAGCAGGCTAGATTGCACTGTCGTGGAGCTTCTGAGATGGTCCTGCAAACTATCAGTGCCAGCAAAGGTAGGAAAGGTTTACAACTGAAGCAAAGCAGTCATATATTTAGGCTAGTCTGTTGCTAAGTTGGGCTGCAAGGTGGCACAGTTGTTAGTACTGTTCCCTCGCAGCAAGAAGATCGGGATCTTTCTGCGTGGAGTTTGCATGATCTTCCCTGTGCAGCGTGGGTTCTCTCCGGGTTCTCCGGCTTCCTCCCAAACAGTCCAAAAACCTGGTGATTCTAAATTGTCCGTAGGTGTGAATGTGAGTGTGCTTGGTTGTCTGTCTTAAGTGTAGCCCTGTGATAGACCGGTGACCTGTCCAGGGGGTCCCCTAAGTCAGCTGGGATAGACTCCAGCCCCCCACGACCCTAGTGAGGATTAAGCGGTGTATAGATAATGGATGGATGGATGTTGCTAAGTTGAGCAGCCGTCTCTTTTAGCAAGTTGTTGCTTTAAATGAGCCAGTTGTAAGCCAAAGACTTAATGTTTACTAAATACAGAACCAAGATGAACGGAATCCTTGATTCAGGAGCTGAGAAGTGATGCTTTTCTCTGTGAATCAGATAATGCTCAGTTTCCAGATTGACCTGAAGAATGCTTTCTTGTTTCACTAATTTCAGGTGTCATGGACTCCATGATTGCCCCGACGCTGAAACTAGGCATTGCTATTCTCAACGGAGGGAATGCTACTGTTCAACAGGTATGATAATGCATTAACCGTTCCCTAAAACTAGACAAGTTGCTAAGGCATAACCTCTACAAGTCCTCAGAAAGTGCCCTGTGGTCCAAGGTGTCAGATCTTCTAAGTCTTGCAAGTTTTGATTGGGTTCAGACTTGTTTCTGCGCTTTCCCTGATAAAACACCTTGTCACTGGTTAATGGTTTGTCCCTCCTGTCGGCACACCGGGAGCACCTCATAGCTTTGCTGTTTCAGAGATGCTCGACCCAGTCTGTTACTGCTATTGATTTAGCATTTGTCAAAGTCTTTACACCTGGACCGAGAGAACCAACTGTTCAAGTACTTTTTTATTACAACATAATTGCTTTTCATTTCATCTCTGAGCGGTCATAATGTTTTGGCTTACTGGTGAAGATTTAATGATTAAAAGTGACGCTTTCCAAGTCATGACTCACTGCAGACCTGTTCTTTGCTTCGATGACCTTGACTGTTCCTGCAATAATATTTTTGTTTAAATGAAGGGCCCTCTTCAGCATGCTCAGATCATATCGCTTTTAAATTCTGTTTTTTATCACAAAGATGGTGCCTTAAGAAAGAGTCACTGCTGCAGCTTGCAGGAATACAAAAGATCACTTTATGTTAATCATATCTGCTTCAGGTGAGAGTCCCCTCCATTTATCAGACCTTGACTTTGATTCTTTTGTTTGACAGAAAATGCTGGATTATCTGAGGGAGAAGCGAGATGTGGGCTTCTTTCAGAGCATGGCTGGACTCATGTGGTCCTGTAGGTGAGTGAATGTAGAAGTAAGTCCTGTCAGATGTCACAGCGGCTTGGCAGACTTTATATACTGAGTGATAAAAATGGTACGAGTGCAAAAGCGTTGCTCGTCCTTTTATATGTGTGTGTACTTTATTTTTTTTTATCCAGTGTTCTGGATCTGAATGCATTTGAGAGGCAGAACAAAGCAGAGGGATTAGGCATGGCCACGGACGAGAGCTCAGGTACTGTATTCAAATGGAAATTAAAAAAAAAAAAATCCATTACTGTGAATCCATGTCATAGCGCAAAAGCCAGCTGTGAGATCTCTGGCCTTGAACATACTCTACATTCACATTCTAAATTGCTATTGTTTCTGCATCTCAAATAATATAATCAGTTGTCTCGCTGAACTCCATTGTCAACAGGTTTTTGCATCTTGTACCTCTCTATATAGTCTGTCATTCGTTCTGTTAAACCCTCACTGTAGTGTTTCTTTAATACTTTCACTTTTTCCTGTCTTTTGTTGCTTTTTTCTGCTCATTTTTTCCCCAGGAGAGAAGGTGATGCCTGACAAAGACATAACCTGTGACCTATTCCGTTTCCTGCAGCTGCTCTGTGAAGGACACAACTCAGGTTATTTGTCCTATTTTTTTATTTTTTTTTTTAAATCAATATACGCACGGCTCTGAAGCTCACAAAAAGTATGAAGCCTTTGAAAAATACAAGACCATATTTTGCAACACATGCTTAAAGGAACACAGGAAAAAGATTTGTTTGTCAAATTACAAATATGGTAACTTGGCACTGATTTCTAACTGCTGCTGTGGAGTAACTTGCTCATGTTGAAGTCCATTCTCAAATCATATTGTCCTCTTATCACAAGCTCAGCATAATCAGACTTTATTTATGTCTTAGATTTCCAGAATTACTTGAGAACACAAACGGGCAACAACACCACTGTCAACATCATCATATCCACTGTGGACTATTTGCTACGAGTTCAGGTGTGTGATCGTTTTTCCGTTGTGATGTTGGACTAAATAAGTAAGCCAAACTATACTGATGTTCCATGTATTCCATTGTTCTATTGTAATGTTATTTGGTCTTCCAAAGGACATTTTTATTTCTGCTCATGCTCCCCTAATTCTTGTGCCACCCTACAGGAGTCAATCAGTGACTTCTACTGGTACTACTCAGGGAAGGATGTGATTGATGCGCAAGGTCAACGCAACTTCTCCAAGGCCATCGAAGTAGCCAAACAGGTCTTCAACACACTCACCGAGTACATACAGGTCTGTCAGATTCTGTTGAATGTCAGCGTTTTGTTTTTTTTTTTGTGAGCTCCAAGGCGTAACAACTGCCTATATATATACAGTATTGGTCAAAAGCTTTAGGCACCGAAAGCAATGATCCTTTCAGAAATACTGCCACTTCACTTCATACAAACTGCAGTAAACCGAATCACCGAATGTAATGCAATGCTTGACTGACTCAGTGATGTTGAGATCTGGGCTCTGAGGTGGCCATACTGTTTGTTGCAGGGCTACTTGTTATTCTTGTCACTGAGTCATATTGTTTAGGACTGTGGCTGTACGTTTGGGGTCGTTGTCATGCTGCAGAATGACTCCCTTATGTTAGATGCCTGCCTCGCAGTACAGTCTAAGAATGTTAAGTGTCTATACGCATCTGAAGTGACTTTTCCACAGTAGTTCAACAAGCAGCTCACATTATCAGTGTCTTAATCCAGGGCCCGTGTACTGGGAACCAACAGAGTCTCGCTCACAGTCGTCTGTGGGACGCTGTTGTGGGATTCCTCCATGTCTTTGCCCATCTGCAGATGAAGCTCTCTCAGGTATATCTCATTGATTCACTGACACTGCGATTTAAGTAGCTTGTTTCGCTCTAAAATTCATTTGACCTAAAATTGATGATGCTTCTGGGGATACTGTAGGGTTTCTACCCCAGCAGCCTTCATTTCTGTCTGCTTGCAAAATATAATAAACCATGCCTCTGGTAGTGTGCAGGCTTAATATATACAGTGTAAGATGAAGACATGAGTAGTACAGTTTGCTGAAAATCTAACTGTAAATATATTTTCTTGTATACAGGATTCAAGGCAGATTGAACTACTGAAGGAGCTCATGGACTTACAGAAGGACATGGTTGTGTTTTTGCTTTCTATGTTGGAAGGTAAAGCTGCTGTTGTCCTGCAGTTTATGACAACAAGCGGGTTAGTTATCAGTTATCACAAGTTATCTCCTTCCTCCAGGTAACGTCGTCAATGGAACTATCGGGAAGCAGATGGTGGATATGCTGGTGGAATCATCGGGCAATGTGGAGATGATCCTTAAGTTTTTTGACATGTTCCTCAAACTTAAAGACCTCACCTCCTCAGATGCCTTCAGAGAGTATGACCCTGATCGTAAAGGCAGCATATCCAGGAAGGACTTCCAGAAGGCCATGGAAAATTGCAAGCGTTTCTCCCAATCTGAGACTCACTTCCTGCTCTCCTGTATAGAGACTAATGATAGTGACATCGTGGATTACGAGGCGTTTGTAGATCGCTTCCACGAGCCGGCAAAAGACATCGGCTTCAGCATCGCCGTTCTTCTCACCAATTTGTCCGAGCACATGCCCAACGATTCGAGACTGAGGACGTTCTTGGAACTGGCAGAGTGTGTCTTGACTTACTTCCAGCCCTGTTTAGGACGCATCGAGATCCTTGGCAGTGGAAAGCGATTCGAACGTGTTTACTTTGAGATCAGTGAATATAGCCGCACACAGTGGGAGAAGCCGCAGGTCAAAGAGTCCAAGAGGCAATTCATTTTTGATGTGGTCAACGAGGGTGGAGAGAAGGAGAAAATGGAGATGTTTGTCAATTTCTGTGAGGACACCATCTTTGAGATGCAACTCGCGGCCCAGATATCTGGCTCCAACACTGGAGAGAGGTGTGCTGGAAAAGAAGAGGAGGAAAAGAGCGAAGAAGAAGGCTTCGACAATAAAGGGATGTTTTTCTTGCATTATTGGTGCCTGTGGCTGACATCTCTGCTTTCTGTGAAAACCCTGAAGACTCTGATGAAGATGACTGTGAAGGATGTCCTCCTGTCAGTTGTTTTATTCCTCAGACTGATCTGTATGGCTCAGGTCAGGTGCATATGTGCTGTAGCTCGCTGCATCATATATGTGCTGTACATGGTCTTTGTTAGCGGTGGGCTCATAGAGGGAGCCAAAAGGACGAGGATGTCGGACTTGCTCGGTGGGATCCTGGAACCAACTCTTGATGAGGTCATGGAGGTGCCAAGTGGTGTGGATCGGCTGAGGAAGTGCTCTGCCGGTTTCTCGTCCCAGAGAGAATTGAGGGAGATTGGGCAGATGGCAGCTGTGACCTCCCCCAGAGAGGTGGATGTACTGTCAGACATATTTGGGATCAAACTGAAAAAGGAAGGAGGCCAATACAGATTTATGACACAAGACCTCACTGCCAGTCTCACTGACCTGTTCAGCACAACCTCCAGGACAATTGCCACTGCTGACATGTCGGACAAGCATCCAACATCGGTATGAATTGAGACATTTGTCATGTTTTTTTTTTTTTTCCTTTACTGCTCATTGTGTTGTATTTCTAACAAGGTTTTTTTTAGAAATTGTTTTGTGTTTTTGTGTTCAGCCTCAGTGTGCCTCTTTGCTTGTACTGCTTTAATACTCTGCTGATTGATATTAATGTTTGATTTTCTTTTGAATTTGAATTTCCCGACTCCAGTTTAAAGACCACACGGCCACAGAGAAAAAAGGTGAAGATGAGACAGTTCCTGGATTAGACGACACAGAGTGAGTCTCTTGCTTCCCTATTAAGTCATCTAAGAGGGAATTGTAAACTTGTTTATAAAATTGTATTACATTCTAAGTCATTTCTCGTTATTGGATCGTGGGTTTAAAACCACTAAAAGTATTTTATCAAATTAGACAAAGGTAATTCCACATTTAGACGTAAAACAACTTGGAAATCTGAACCAGTAAAAATCTGATGTCATCATTCGAGATATTTCCATATGAAAATAAAGCTGCTGGGTTCCCTCTGTTTGTGTTTGGATTGTTTGCAGTGGGAAGAAATCTGAGACGAAAACTGGCAATGAGAAAGCAGAGGCAAGATGGAGAGCTAAGAAATGCCCTCATAGGTCAAAGGAACCACAGAACCAACATTCTGCCCTCTGGGAGATGATAAGCACTCATAACAAGAGCCTGCTGGTAATACACAAGCACACTCAACATGTGTGTGCATGCATGCATACACATACACACAGATGAGGGTGCTCACTCTCATCCACTTAAATTTGCATGCACACGAACAGCAGTACACAGGCGGGAGACTCCTAAATGTTTTTTTTTCCCTTTTTTCCCCCAGAACTGCTTTGCAAGGAATTTTTACAACATGCGCTTGCTCGCCCTTTTTGTCGCCTTTGGAATCAACTTCATTCTGCTCTTCTACAAGGTGAGAGTGTGCTTGTGAGAGAAGTGTTTTGTACTTGTGTGTACTACATTTCAGAGAGATTTCACTTCTGTACTACATTTATCTGATCTATTTTGCTGAAATTTGTAGGACTAGAATTTTTACACTTGAGGACGTGCAAAACTATTTTCACAAACCATGCCACAGTAGTCAGAGTTAGCAGCTCCTGGATCAACTCAAACGCTGGATTCCCAAGAATGCTTTGGTTTAATATTCTAATTTACTAATTACATGCATTTGCCATTTTTCTGCGTACCAGGTTCTTCTACTTTTGATACTCAAACAACATTTTCTACTCATAATTTTGTGCTTTTACTGAAGTAAATTACAAATCAAAGTCCTGCATTCTAAGTGTACGATGTACTATCGCTACTTATACTTAGTAAACGTTCTAAATACGTTTACCAAAAATGCAGTTGTCCATCCATCATCTATACGCCGCTTAATCCTCACTAGGGTCACGGGGGGCTGGAGTCTATCCCAGCTGACTCAGGGTGAAGGCAGGGGACACCCTGGACAGGTCACCAGTCTATCACAGGGCTGCACTTAGAGACAGACAACCAAGCACACTCACATTCATACCTACAGACAATTTAGAATCACCAATTAACCTCAACATGTTTTAGGACTGTGTGGGAGGAAGCCGGAGAACCCGGAGAGAACCCACGCTGCACGGGGAGAACATGCAAACTCCACGCAGAAAGATCCCGGGTGTCCAGGACGTGATCCAGAGCGGCAACTGTGCTAACCACAGAGCCGCCTTGCAGCCCCAAATGCAATTGTGTAATATTTAAAATATTTAAAGTAGTGTCTTTCTAAATAATCTGTTGATCTCACCCTATCAATTGAAAAAAGAATGGGAGAGCCCAGTGAAACTATAAAAATCTTAAAGGCTTTATTGCAGTTTAAATGGGTAATATGCACAATCATATACATCTGCTAGACCCTGCAGAATGATTCACAAGTAAAGGTTTTAATTAAATGAAGAGAACTCCGCGATAAGCTCAAATGAACACCAGAGACCAAGTCAAAAAGGAGTCAGCCCAACTCTGTAGTCTCTGTTAACGCTGTTGAATTGGACTGCATTTCACTGAAAAGAAGTTTCCAACATTTTGTCAAAGACATTTTCTCTGTGTTCACTGAAGATACTCTTTCTTTTGCTCTCTCCCAGGTGGCATCCTTCCCTGCATTAGAAGAAGAAGAAGAAGAAGAAGGGGCGATCACGTCTGTTTACAGCGAAGAACTGAACTCTGCTCCTGAAGATGACAGCAAGGACAGAGTTTATTTTGTGCTGGAAGAGAGCAGTGGATACATGGAGCCCTCTCTCCGTTTCCTGGCTGTTGCTCACACAATCATCTCCTTCTGTTGTATTATTGGTTACTATTGCCTGAAGGTAAACCAGTTCAAGAATGCGCTTTTGCACATTTGGAATGAACTCCTTTCACTTTATTAAGTCAGTTTCTGCCCATCATGCAGACACTGAGTGTACTTTAAAACCAGGGGGAAATTGAAAGTTACCAGAGTTTTGACTATTCTGCGTTTCAGAGGTTTTGAGTTTTGCCAGAGTAACGGTGATGTGTTTATTCAGAGAGACAAGTGATGACTGTGGAGCGTTTGATTGAAAGGTACCGCTGGTGATCTTCAAACGTGAGAAGGAGGTGGCACGCCGGTTGGAGTTTGATGGGCTGTACGTGACTGCGCAGCCCCCTGAGGAAGACATCAAAGGGCAATGGGACCGACTGGTCATTAACACACCGTATGTTCATGGCTTCATCATGTGATGTCGTATTAATATTAAAGAAAAACCTGTTTTATACTTTAAATTTGAGAATCCATTTGGCTTCCATTTATAGTCATAGGACGGGTTGTACTGTGAACAAAATGGTGCGGTTGTCAGTTCATTTTCCAATCTTAAACTTCTTCCTTATGAATATATGCAATACTATTTCTTTATCTTTTCAGGTCATTTCCAAGCAATTACTGGGATAAATTTGTGAAGAGGAAGGTAAGGTCTTCAGAGGACTGCAGCTTTGGTTCTGTACAGAAAATTATAAATTATACAATATTCTATCCTGAATGTGCTTATGCATGTATGTAATTGTGTGCATATTTCACGCGGTGACAGTGCATCAAGGAACTAAATGAAATTTAATGAACCATTTAATGGCAGGTGTAATTATTCCCCCATCAAGAAAATGGTTTTGTTGTCTCCAGAGACAGTGCAACACTTTGAGCCTCCTCATTCACATCACCTCTTGTGTTACGAGGCTAACATTAGTTTTTGTTTAGGAAAAAAAAAAAAAGCTTCTGTTTTCTTTTTATGAACATTTTATTTGATTTAAAGAATTTTCAACTGCCCAGTAATGTACTGCTTGAAAAGAAAACTGTGGGCGGGTTAAATTTAATGACAACACGAGTTCACTTCTCATTAAATGAAGAGAACCAGTTATTAAAATTCTAAACTTTTCAAAGGTTTGCAAAGGCAGGGGTCCTCCTCTACTGCCCTCATCAAAATTGAAAGGCTGGAAAGATAATTAGCCACGACTTTTAAAGTGTATTCTGATTATTTCAAGTTTTATATATATCACTTTCCCACTTTCATAAAGAATCTTGTTTCAAACTTAATTTTATTGCTCAGCAAAGTCTTGGCTTCTTCTAGCCAAACAAATCTGGACAAAAGATAGGTGGCTTTGAAAGGGGCTCATGTGGGACAAAGAAATAACCACAGCTGATGGTGGTGGTCTGAGGCTCCTCCTGTAAGCTGCAATCTATAAGTAACCAGTTAAATAGCTTTCTATTCCTCAAACACCCGCATTAAAAGAGGTGAAAAGTAACAATTTAGTCCCTAATGTTTTATGAAAAAAATGTTTTGACTTTGAGTTTTATCAGACCGGCATCTTGAAGCACTTTCACTTTGTCTCTGGCTTTCTGCCACCGGGGTGAACACTTGGTCTGTATAATGTATAGTTAGGCTTCCCGCACTGCATTTAATAACCCGTATTGCATCATTTCAAGAGCCTGCCATAAAAGAGACGCTCAAGTCCTTCTGGTAATCCACATTTGAATTTGGAGGTTTGCAATATTGCTTACCATACTTTACAGTGCTTGTGTTTCTAATACTAAAATGGGCTCAGTAATAAAGCTAGATGTGCTTGGCTCTAGTTTTAAGTTAATAAATTAAGAGACATAAAGTTTCATGGAACCGTGACGGCACAATACGGAGAAACTCAGCATCTATCATGTGATTAAGTTAAGTAAATATTTTCTAGCCAAGACACATTGTGCGCACACATTTTAGTAGAAAGGTAAAATATAAGCCGAGATCAATACTCGTTATTTATATACTGTGAGCTCATTGTTGCCATCAGTCATTTACACAACCAACAGTGCACTATGGAGGGAAGCACAACCAAGGTATCATAAAATCCTTGCTTTTTTTTACTCAGTAGTTCTTAGAAGCAGCGCTGTCATCCAGGCTGAGATGTCATTATAGCACAGAGTGTTCAGAAGAATTCAGGCAATCACATATGCATTGTTATCTCTTGCCAGCCTCCATTCAGATAAAAATACACTGAAGAGACGGTTGTTTTAGTCACTATGTTAACCTGTCTTCTTGCCCTGTCAGGTGATGGATAAGTATGGCGACTTTTACGGCTGCGAGAAGATCAATGAACTCCTGGGTTTGGACCAAGCTGCTTTAGACTTTAGCTCTGAGAGAAAAGAAAAGAAGAGGCTCAAGAGAGACACTGCCTGGAGTGTTCTGTGAGTAGAGAAAGTATTTAAAAAAAAGTGCCAGCCTCTGCGAATCTCCGTTCTTAAAAAGATCCATGGGAAACTGCAGATATGTCGTACGTCATTTATTTCACATTCTGTGCAGTTTCAGACAAAATTAAGACTGGGATGTTTAAAAAGATAGCACTTTAATATAGTTTTTTCCCCCCCTCCTGTATATGTACATGAAAGAACAAGAGCTTCAATAATCAGAAATTGTGTATTTATTTCTGTATAGTACATGCATTGGAAATAATTCTGGCCTATGACAGGAATTATAGTGCGCAGTTATCTAAGCAGCTGTACCCAAAGCAGCTTGCAGAGATGGCAGCAATGTGTCACACTTCTCTGGAGGATAGCTGCAAGTATGTTGGTAAACACACAGCCTGGTGCCGACATAAAAAACATGAGTCAAATGTGAAAATCAATACAGCCCCATTCTCTATTGCATTTTACTGTAGAGGAGAACTCCTGATATATGCTGACACTATGGGCTCATTTGGCCTTGCTGGTAACACCTTGAAATAAGATGTCAGATAAATTGTTATTAATATTGTATGCCGTTATCGACGATTATTTCACTGATGTTATGTATGTGTTTGTGAGGACGCGCGTGTGTGTGTGTGTGTGTCCTGCCGAACGCATGGCCGGACAAAAGTAGGTTTTACGACATTAGTCTGCACTTGAGGAAGAACAGGACATTCTGTGACGAAGCCGCATAACAGACAGGCTCTTTTAGAAAAGACAGCGTAGCTCAAGGGTCTGATTTTAGCCATGGACACGTTGACCTTATTTTTTAGGTTCTTATCGTTATGTATCGTCGCAGTAATGCTGTTTGTTTCAGATTTAACTCCATTGACGTGAAGTACCAGATCTGGAAGCTGGGAGTTGTGTTCACTGACAATGTAAGTTTCTTTGTGTCTAATAGCTTATGGCTTTTGCTCCATTTGTTTATGCCCACTTGTTCCTACAAAACAAAGATAAAGGTGTGCAATTAATGTTAACCGATAATATATGACTGAGCAGCGGGTGTAAAACATATCTGATATTTTACGACCTAATTTGTTTTATCTATTGCCCTGCTGTGCTGAGATTTTGTTTGATACAAATACACATGCTGCAGAGGTGACGGAGGTAATATCCTGTGATTCCACCTTATCTAAAATACACATTTGTCTCGATCTGTCCTGGTAATCTGTATCGCCTGTGCGTGTTTGTCCTCGTGTGTGTGCTCACAGTCCTTCTTGTACTTGGCCTGGTACATGATCATGTCTGTTCTGGGCCATTATAACAACTTCTTCTTCGCTGCCCACCTCTTGGACATCGCCATGGGCTTCAAGACACTTCGTACCATCCTTTCGTCCGTCACACACAACGGGAAGCAGGTGTGTGTGTGTTTTTGTATGTGTCTGTCGGCCTGTCTTTAAATCTCTGTCCATCTGTCCTTGTGTGTTCACACGTGCAGTTAGAATGCATGTGATGTTTGCCTTCACAGCGTAGGGTTATATTGGGGCTTTTCCAAGATGAAGAAGCGCATTAAAGCCCATCTGTCTGTGTCTCCTCTTTTGTGATTTTGTGTGTCAGTTGGTCCTGACTGTGGGCCTGCTGGCGGTCGTGGTGTATCTCTACACCGTCGTAGCGTTTAACTTCTTCAGGAAGTTTTACAACAAGAGTGAGGACGACTCACAAGACATGAAGTGCAACGACATGCTCACTGTGAGTTTTGTGTGCACATCGACACGCAGACACTTTGTTTTTCCACATATATCTACCTTTATCTACCCCCTTTATCTCTTTATCTTTCTATCTTTCGAACACAAACAGAGCCACACATGTTGTTTTCTTCGACCAGATTGAAGGCGGTAGAGGAGGATTCTCACAGTGATCCCGTTGTGGAATTGAGAGCAGCTTCTTTCTTCTACTTTTCCATAAAATGATGGACACATGGATAGAAAACAGCCCCTGAAGCCTCGGCATAGCTCTTTGTTTGGCCATCCACAACATTAACACCCCACCGTCTGCTCTTTTCTAATGTGGGCTCCACTGTCACTCACATACGCAGGCGGATGGGCAGCGATAGCATTTGAATAAAACCCTACCATTACGGGAGGCAGGGGATATTACATTAAATCCTCAGTCACATGTTGCTCATGCTGGACTTTTAGCAGCACTTTTACAACACTCATTTGCAATCCCTTCTCCTCATCATCACAACACCACAATATTTTTTAGACAAGTGAAACCTGACAAAAACCGGATTCTAAGATAACCAGAAGACAGCGCATCCTCTACTGTCTTGCACTTGTGAGAAAAAGAGAGCATTTTCAAATTCTGAATGTTCCGCCAAAGTTTAGCTGTCAATTTTTGCTTTGTTCATTCAAGTTCCTTGTGGAAAATATCATCTTCGGCACTTAAAAGCGCAGCACAGTCCTGGCGAGACAACTTGATTGTTAATTCTTCTTGCCTCGTGCTCTTACATGCAACTCCTTGTGGGGAAATACCGTCTAAAGTGAAGGATATTGATTCAAATGTTACATTCTGTATAAAAATGCTGCTTCTCTCAAACTTTCAAATGTTCCCCAAAAGCAACCCCCCGTGGAGACAAGCATGAAAATACATGAAATTAATTCTCAGGGTTTTTTGCAGCTTAAATTTTCACCAGTGTTATCCTCAGACATTTATTTAAAAAACACTCTGAAGTAGAATGAATACTATTTACTGAATAAACATGTGTTTGCTTTCAGTGTTACATGTTCCACATGTATGTGGGCGTGCGTGCCGGCGGTGGCATCGGCGACGAGATTGAAGATCCTGCCGGTGATGAGTTCGAGGTGGAACGAATCGTCTTTGACATCACGTTTTTCTTCTTCGTCATTGTCATCCTCCTGGCCATCATCCAGGGTACGTCAGTGTATTTGTTTTGCAAATACAGTTAAGGTTGAAGAGAATGCATCAACATGTATACTGCACGTCTTTACCAAGGCACACACCAGTAGAATTTATTCACAGCGTTCGACTGGAATTCGTCTGATGAATTTTTCATGTGGGTTTGGAAAACAGGCCAAGTGTATGTTTATTCCTCTGAGTCCTTAAGTTTCACTGACACCTGTCATTCACACGCGAGCGCAGCCACGCGCATGCACCAGACACACAATTCTGTCTTTCCTTCTGCTTTTTCAGGCTTGATAATTGATGCCTTTGGAGAGCTGCGAGACCAGCAGGAGCAGGTGAAAGAGGATATGGAGGTGAGATTTGACTCTTTCTGTCACAAACACTGTCTCACGTTTGAACACAGACACGCACAGCAGTTGTTTATCCTCGTCAAGCATTTTGAATAAATCACACATCAGCGTTGTACAATAGGTACAAATATTCTGAAAGTATGTGAACCTTTTGTGCTACAAAAGAGACCAGCGGATACCTCTATGTTAATGCAGCCGTGGTGATCGAGCAGCAGGTTCATTTGTGGTCAGTAAGTTCAAGACGAGCTGTAACTTAAGTGCATGTGAAGAGTAGATGTAGATTAAGTCAGTTGTTGTGGGAGCTCGTGTCACAGGAAATGGTCATATCATTAGCATTAATGAGAGGAAAGCATTAATCGCCGTCTCATAGATAATCAGCGGCGAATCATTAAAGCAAGTTTATTCTGAGACAAAACAAATCCCTGGTATCCAAAATCAATCATCCGATGTAATTGGCATGCATAGAATGTGCATCTTAAATAAAACCTTTTCTGTCCACTGTTTGGCTCGTTTATTAGCGCTGAACTTTCAGTCTATAAATCGTGCTTCATTCGTGTTTGCATATTAATGCACTACGGGCTGTTTTAAGTTTAAGAATGTCTGCTTATTTGGATCATAATAAGTACAGACTAGACACAGTGGAATACAAACGAAGATGTCTTTCCTCCTCAGTGTGATTCTACAATCGCATTGCTTACAGCTTTACTCCAGAGTTACATGTGAAGTTAGTTCTGGTGGAGCCTGTGGACCAGGCAGCCACAATACATAGAATCCTCAACGGTAAACCAGTAGAGGCTTCAACAGGAGTGAATAAAGCTTTCCTGAATCAGACAAGTGATGCTAAAAGAGAGAGACACGCTGAAACTTAGCAGCCAGTTGGAACAAGCAAACAAGCCCAAAGGAGAAGGAGAGGCAGGCAACTAATCGAAGGTTAGACCTTTGATTACCCAGCTGAGGAAACAAGGCGGCACAGATGGCCTTACAAACAATGAACTACCCTCTGAAAATGAAGGGTGCTCGTATGATTTAACTGAACGCATAGTTGTTATGGTCACTGACATTTGGCAAATGCACAACAGTCAGCATCTGCTCTTCTACATCCGCAGAGAAAACAATAACGAATGAATAACAGTAGAGAGCTGCGGTTCAGTCGACTGCACAACAGATTCAGGAGGAATTCAAGCAAAAGCAATATGTTTTACAGATTGCTGAAGGCTAAAGAGAACAGAGGCAAGCAGGGGATGTGTAGGGATTATGAATAGTGCTATATTATGTTCATATATTATGCAGGTTTTTCATTGTTTTTTTGACATCAGCCATTAGTATGTGCTTTCATGTGTCTTTTGCATTGTGTCCCAAAAAAAAAAAACACAACAGAGCGACACATTTTACACCTGCTTTTCCAGATGTTACATTTCAGATGCATTACGCTCAGTTACACCATAAATCAGGTTGGGTTGCCACTTTCATCCGCTCATTTTTTTTTTTTTTTTAAATCCCTGAAATACATATTGCATTAACCCCAAAACACACATTTCAGCACTGCTTCCTTTCTGTCACAGTTCCAGCACAAAAATATTGGAAAAAAAGGTAATTAGACAGCTTAGCATCCCCCAAAAATGTTGCAAAACCTCAGCAAAGTGCCCCTCTGTGTCTTCTGAAGGGAGCGTGAGGTTATTGTCGTTTACCGTCGTTTTGCTTTTGTAGGCGTCCTTTGAGTGCCTTAGTGGGAAAAAAAATGAGGTGTCACATTGTTGTGGCACCAGACTAAATACCATGTTTGAGTCACAGAGCGCTAAAACGAGACGCCTCGGGTCTTGAGGTTTGGGTTTTTAGTGTTTTATTTTCTAATGTACTGTGGAGCGCATCATGTTTGTCTTTCATGAATCATTACGTGTCTCCCATCTCCCCTCCCGCAGACCAAATGTTTTATATGCGGAATAGGAAGCGAATACTTTGATACAGTCCCTCATGGCTTCGAGACTCACACTCTGCAGGAGCACAACTTGGCCAACTATCTGTGAGTTGATTCATCCTCGCCGCTTTTATGTTGGTTTGTCATCAACTCATTTGGCAGATGCTTAAACTAACTTAAACACAAGCCATTTTTCACGTTGACTTGTGTAAATATTGTGCATGCTTCACCATCACTAAACCTAACAACGAGCAAACATAACCGCAGTCACACCTCCATCAGTCATTGACTTAGCTTCAGAACAGTATATTCCTATTAAGTCATCATTAGTTTTTTTTAATTATGTTTAGACCAGTTCTCGGTGTAATAGCTGCCATAGAATAGAATGGATTAGAATAGAATATACTTTATTTGTCCCAGACCTGGGAAATTATTGTAAATAGCAGCATCCAAAAACATAGAAAGAAAATACAAGAAAATAACAATAATTAAGTAATATGCATCCCGGTGTCCGCTCACAGCGGGTCCAAGGCCCCACCGTCTCCAGTTGGGCAGTCCACATACTGGCAGAATGTGGGGAGAGTGGTAGAGAGCGGTGTATGATTAAAGTCTCCTGAGATGATGATCAGAGACTGAGGGTGTGATGTTTGCTATGGATGAATTCACAGCACAGCATCAGCCGAGGGGGGGATGTAAAGCGTAATCGGCAGGATGTGCGAAAACTCCCTCGGCAGGTAAAACGACTGCAAACCAACCGCCAGCAGTTCAACATCCTTTGTGCAGCGCCGCTCTTTAACGTTACATGCCAGCATTACACCATCGTCTTGTTTAATAGTGAACAATTTTTCACTAGTGATCATCAACTAGCATCATTTTATTGTGACATTTATAATGACAATCCAGTAAAATTCCAAACACTTCATAGAATAGCGACGTGTGCATGAGACCAAACTTTGCAGGCTGAGGGGAAGCAAGAAATCCTGCATTTGTTTTTGCTTAAAATGCCATCGAGCTCCACCACAGTGCAAACAGAGTTGTTCATCTCAAATCATCACGGGCCTTCTGCTCTGAAATACTGGACAAGTAGATCAAATTATCTCGATGTCAACTAGTCATCTGAACTATATGTTGTGTGTCACAATAACACAAAGCATGTAGAATATTTCCTAATATGTGGCCACAAAAATTTAACAAAAGTTATTTTCCATGAACGTTCATGACTGATTGAACTGGTTCAAGAAGTTGTACCACAAAAACAAAAATATTGCGAATCCAAAGAAAAGTAATCTGGGCTTATTTTTCATTTTCAGACCCCACTTGATCAGCTGCAGAAACAGATCGAACTGTTACCTAACCTATTATAATTATCAACTTCCTACTGCAAATGATATAAATATACAATATATACTAATTACTATAAATATACATGTCCAGTTTGTTAGTTTAGTCTTAAAGTCCAAGTTTATTCCCAAAGAAAAAAAGCAAGAGAATTCATTGGGATGCTATCAAACAGTTTCCACAATGATCGTGAGGATGGATTTACTTTTTAATATGAAGGCAAATCAGAGATGACCAAGCAGCAATTATTTTAAGAAGATTTAAGATGGAATGACCCCAAATAGAAACAAACAAGTAGAGCTCATAGGATGTGACTATTAAACTCTGCCTGTGTACTGTGTTGAGAAAAAAAAAAACTATATTGAGAAATATTTGTGTGTGGCTTTAAAGGCAGAAAATAATTACCCCAGTCAATCATATTAAAAATGTTATGGCAAAAAAAGTGATTAGCATTTTCTCTTTACCATAAACCAATGAGTCAATGGACACCTTTTCATAAAAGCGCTTCTCTTGAAGGTCTTATTGCATTGCGCACCGTTGCTACATCAATAATCGCCACTGGCAAGACCTCGTTGAGTCAAATTAGTATGGATGCATTTCAATCCTCTGACTGATGGACACTCTCCTGCTCATGACTATGTATGCTGATGCTTCATGTTACATTTTTGGCTCACCTGTTAAAGGTCCACAGACTGAAACCTCACTATTGATAATCTAATAAACTGAATGATCAGTAAATGTCAGCATCGCTCGCTTCTGGTCGCTCGTCAAACATTTGCAAGCACTAAGCTAATTGTCTAACTTCTTTTCTCCGTTAACTATCCTGCGGTTGTGTTTTTTTTTGCTGCATCCATTATCGTCACATTCATTGTGCACAGACTTAATTTAATGCTAGAATTTCCTCCGCATGTGTTTCTCTCCATATCAGATCCAAGTATGTGTGAGAGAGATTTGCAATTTGCTACATGATTGCCTCTTCTGTGTCCCTGCAGATTTTTTCTCATGTACCTTATTAACAAGGATGAAACTGAACACACGGGGCAGGTATAATAGTTTTTTTTCTCTCTTCTGTTTTATTGCATTATCCAAATACTTTTAAAGATCCTAAATGATTCTACTGTCGGTGACATGATCTCATCCCTGTACACCCTTTCGCAACGCGTCCTCCGCGTCTCGCTGACCTATTATTTCATTCATTTGGCACGATAATGACGACGCTGTAGTGTAACCTTTTCGACTAGGACAGGATCTGCATTCACGCGGCCTCTCACACAGCCTTATCACCCCTCCTGGCGCGCATATTTTATGATAATATGCATCCCAGGCATACCTCTTATGATTACAGTTGCTCTTGAAAAACATTGCAGAGTAAGGGCTATACATTTAAAGTGGGGTGGGCTTCACATTTGAAGTGGACAAGCGGTTCCATTCATTTGTCTTGTTGCTTTCTTTTTGTTGGCACATATTGTACATGATCTGCTACAGAGACTTACTTCTCATTTCACACTTGTGTCTCACGGTTACTGTTGAATCTAATAAAGGGACGTGAATCGGAATAGATGAAGACGTACGAGTTTAATGTAAAAATAAGAATCTTATTAGGAATAATTTAAATTTTGGGACAGTGTATCTCATATGAAACACTGCAGAACTGATAAAAATATGGTGGCCCAGAAGTGTCACAACAAAACAAAAGCCACAACACAACACAATAAGCCACAACGCTACAAAATTAACCACAAAACTACAAAATTAGCCGCAACACAACACAACGGCTGCAACGGAAGTGTCCGCATTCACAAGTCAAACAAGCAATGACTCTTTATTTTTAAAACAAAGTTATCAACAAAGTTTAACAGCGCATACCGAGATTAATGGACACTATTTGCCATCAGTATTTTACTTACTTTCGAGTTGTTTCCAACAATCTCCGGCTTCTGCCCACTTCGTGTGGTTACGCACTTCACAGTATAACTTCCGGGTTAAAAAAAAAACAACTTCCGTTGCAGCCGTTGTGTTGTGTTGCGGCTTATTTTGTAGTGTTGTGGTTAATATAGTTGTGTTGTGGCTCATTGTGTTGTGTTGTGGCTTTTGTTTTGTTGTGACCCTTCTGGGCCACCGTATAAAAAGACACCGAAAGGTTGCATTTCCAAATTCAAGTCGGGTCCTGGGACTTATCTTTACTGTTTATATTCTTTCAGCGGTTTATTCCTCTCACATGTAGATCAAAAACGAGCTACTCGATGGAATGTGTGAAATGTTTCTCTGGCACGCTTGACACGCAAAAATGTAAAGCATTCAGATTTAAACTGCGTCTTCTGCGTCCACTGTTTAGACTGTTATTCTGCTGGCCCCCGTGAGCGCGTCCTCGAAGAATGTATACATTTGATGCAGTTAATGACCTGAAGGTAAATTATCACTCTGTTGTTGACTTTGCCAGGAATCCTATGTGTGGAAAATGTACCAGGAGCGTTGCTGGGAATTCTTTCCTGTGGGAGACTGTTTCCGTAAGCAATATGAGGATCAACTGGGATGAAAGGAAATCTAAGAAGGTCTAAAGCCTCCCCAGATAGTGTCATTACATCGAAGCCGTCTCCGTCGATGCCCTTGAACTCACTAAATTACCATAAATTTGTGTGTTTCCACTATATTGATATTAGATTTCTGAGTGTTTTTCTTTCCCCCCCTTAGACATCATTATTTCTAAATTATATTGATTAAATTACTTGGAAAACTAGAATGATGACCACTTGTTTGTGTTCTGATCCTAAATTAATGCAGTGTTTGTTTTGGGAGTCCTGTGGGTAGGAAGGTTCTAATTTCGGCGGTTTTGTAAAGTCTACACCAGATCTGTTTTGTGCTTCATTATCTCACACAGTCAAAGCCAGCAGCCCAAATTCACTTCAGCATTTCGCCGGCTGGATGTGTCATGTTTTCTGAATAAACTGATTTGTCTTTCTAATCACAGCCTCCCATCCCTTTCCCCGTCCAGATAAACACTGTCCCTCTGGCATTTGCTCTGCTTTTACCCTCCTCTGTTTCTTGAGGTTCTCTCTTTTTATCTGTTGTGCTCATCTCTCCAAGATCCTCCTACTGTCTCCTTGCTTCTTATTCTCTTTATTCCCCCCCTTTCATGCCTCATATTCAGCTCTTTTCCCTTCTCATCATCAGCTACAGCATAGCCCGTCCCATATTGCTGAGGAAATAGATCGTCCAGCTTATAGACGTGATTGACTGCTGCCTCTGACGGCCAAATAAAGCCTTCGGAGAATTCTCGGGTTGAACTCATTGATTAAAAAAGAGCGCGGCGAGTTTTGTTAAACTGTTGATACGCGTTGACTTTAACAGCGGGGACGGCGAGCGTGGGAGGACCACCTACGGATATTGTCCTCATTATGCAAAGGTCAAACACTGAGCTTACACAGTTCTGCTGCTGATATGTATTCATGTTGCTTTTGAGTTACGACCTGTGAGAATACTGTAATTCACTGAAAGACCAGGGGAGGGGAAACAGGTTAAAGATGAAGAGGTCTCGGTTTGTCTGTGAAGGAAAATGTTTTATATTACATTTGCATAACCTAAAGAGAGTCTCTAGTACAAAAGTTGAATTAGATTTTTCTTTAGATTGGAGCTCTAAATTGCTGCACTTTAGAGATGATCGCATTAATTGTCAGTGTTTTGATTAAACTGTTCATCTACAATGTGTGACGCTGATGTGAGCGATGATTCAAAAGCCTTGAAAACAACTTCTTCTCTCAATTACGTCTTGTTATGACAAATGGGAGTATTATGAACGTTTTATTTTCTGCCAGACTTAACAGTTACTTCACATTTCCGTGTTTGTGTTTCTCTATTCTGAATTGATGCAGTCAGGGCTGCTGGTGTTCTAGTAATTCAACTCTTTTTTTATTTTACTCCATTCAGTGCTTATAAAAGTGAACGTAAAGGTTATTACGAATGCTTTTAAAGATGATTTTATGCGGCACCAAAAAGCAGCATTTCATACTGGTATTATCTTTAACGAAGCTCGCCTTCAGGACCGTGCCCCCCTGTTTAAGATTCATAGGTTTCACAGCTGCCAGTTCCTGAGCTACAGGAGAATGGACATAGTTGATCAGTTGCCACATCAGTCTTAGAGCAGAGGTTGAGGATTGGAGGAAAAAAAAACATCTCATCAAAAGCCTATTTCATTTGGAAATCCATCCCTTTCTAGTGAGTCTAAAAATCAATCATACCGTCATAACATCAAACCCGCAGACATCCAACTCCTCTGTGCAGTTCTCTCTCGCCACAGATGTGCAATTTCAGAAGTAACGTTTCTACAGTTAATTTCCGAGAACATTGTGCATTTGAACCAGGGGACCTCAGTCCTCTAAAACAGCCCAAATTAAATATACCGACTGCTCGGTGTGTAATTGCCACATCTGCTGGATCAAAAGATATTGTGGATAAGATGGATGTTCGTTTGTTGCTGCCAAGCTTCCCCTCCTCTTTTAATCTTCCTGATCTTTCCGTCCTGGGGTTGAATGATGCCAAGGCCAGAAGGTCTGGATGTAGTTTAGATTGTGGAGCATAACTCAGTGGTGGAATTTGCAGCGCCTGCTCGCAGAACCAACAGCGGCACAAGAGAACAGTAGCACGACGTGACACAGCTCAGGTCCCTCATGTCTGAGAAGAAACAAGTGCATGTGAACTGGAACTGCAGCAGATGTGTGTGTGTGTGTCTGTCTCAGGCAGGACAGTCAGCTTCTTCTGTGATATGTGCTCTAAAACCACTTTTATATTGGAGCTATTCATTAGGTTAACTGCTGCATCCCCCGGTCTCTACTTTCCAACACCAGCTCCCAGCCAGACACTTGTATTAAACACATACTTTTTTCAGAGATTTATGTCACCGGGGAAGGTTATTTCTTTTCCACAATAGTGCTGACTTTAAAGTGCAAACTAAAAGAGAAATACAAGGAGTAATGGCATGGAGAGGGGGACGCTGAAGTTAAGGGTAAGGGAAGTTTTTGCAACCTAAGGAAGGTCAGTCAGACCAAAACGCACCAGAAGTCAGTGAGATCTTTATTCAGACAACATGCTTGGCTATCATGTTTCCCAAGGTCACTGCTACTACTGTCTTTGCAGTGTTTATCCATAGTGAGCATTACCTGTACAGAGGTGTCTGCCCGTTTATCTGAATAACCAGAGCTTTGCATTTACATGTTACACCACCGACGATCTTTTTGGTCTGTTTGCAAAAGCAGATATCACGCGGAGCAACAACGGAAAGCCGCCCTGATCCTATCTCACTCGAGCGCGCTGGTGTCATTGCAGCATTTTACAAAGCCAGTGGGCTTGTCAACGACGTGGAAATCATATAAACTGATCTGATTTTATGACACATCAGCAGAATGTAAGCAGTGACTAATGGATGTGGCCATTTTCCATATCCTTCAATGGGAAATCAATGGTATGGTTCCATTATGCGTCGCCTTCAGGTTAGCATTATTCAAAGACACTCTTTGCTGTACCAGCATTCGCAGGCCGCAATAAGGAATCTAGGAATTATGCCTCTTCAGATGGCTTCGGGTTGACATGCAACAGCTAGTTATGCATACAGGGCATTGTAAAATGATTATGGATATAGGGACGTGTGGTTTGATCATTCTGAATATTGCCTCAGTCGCTTGTTTGGGAGATAATGCCGCTTCACCCAGATAGATCATGGAGATGTAATCTGAGTTATAAATCAATAAAAGATGACAAGAGGAAAGAAAGTGGGGGGAAGAGCGCAGCTGTGAATTTACTCTTACCTGAGGCCGACCAAGTATTCTGAATTAAACATGAGCAGCGACTTCTTCTCTTTTTTTTTTCCTCCTTCTGTTCCTCTGATTTCAGTTTGGGAGCTCTTGTCTGCCTCAAACTGCTTTGTACACTCTGCACCCCGAGTTACAATTCTGTCATTTATCGATTTTATTTTAATGCATGGCAGTCCTTTGTCGTTCGCTCGCCCTTTGCAGCCTCATAAAGACTGGATTAATTTTGTTGATTTAGCGCGCTGGCACCAAACTAGCACTACTTGTGTTTCATTATGAAGCGACACATTCGGTGAACGAGCGACTTAATATCGTCATCTCTGATGCACAGTATGAATATTGCATGTGTGTGTTTTTTGTGGGATTTGGCTTCAGAATGGTCTGTTTCATCCCAAGACACTCTTTGGAAAGTAATTTTATTTGTTCGGTCCCTTTTCACTGACCTGTCAGGAAATTACTTGATGCCTATCTTCTGATCTGTATGAGGGCTTCTTAGGGACTGACATGGTTCGAGTCTTGGCACTGACAATCAATCTACTTCTTCGGTTTTAAAGTCAGAAACTTAGGGATTTCCAGAGGCGTATTTCTCGTAGACACACTCGCTGAAAATCTTTCCCCTCCTTCCAATAGACAGTGTGTACCGACCCTAATGTGTTATTGTTACCGGTATCTGCCATTCACATCTCGACTGTGTAGAAATACTTCCCCATCGCTTGATTAAATATTTACAGCTATTTGAAATCATCAGCACAGCCTCCATATTGAAAAAAAAAACAAAAAAAATGCTGCACCAAAATGCAGCCTGAGCCCACTGTGGCTTTATTGATTAAATCAGCAGACAGCTGTTTTTCTGCAAACAGTTTTGTTGAAATTAGTATTGTTATTGCAAAACCACTTATCATTGTAAATAGAAAAACACACACACACACACAACTCTATTTGGACAGTCATGTAAAGTGGATTATTATGGGGGATTGCCTGTTTATGCAACCATGGTGAATATCTTTAAAAAAACATTCACAGTTTTGGCAGCAGTGGCTTTTTTTTGTCACTTTTGAACGCAGCTTTGTTAAATGAAACTAAGTAAAGGCAGCAAAGAAGGTTGCCATGAAATCCTGTTGCGATTGTGACAGATTAAGTACCTGCAACAACCATTTTGCATGTGATCAAATTTTCTTCCGATTCCGACTCCGTTAATCCTTGTTCAGGCTTTGGAGCATTATTAAACCGCCACTTACTTACAGAATTACTTCCTAAATTGACCAGAAAACACAGCAGCAGAATGTGTTGCAAAAAGAAAACCACGTTGCTCTCTTTGCACACTTCTTCCATCCCAGATTTCCATCCAGCGCCGCCCTGCTATCCAAAACTAAAGATTAAAAAAATGGTGTGAGATGCTCAAGCCCTGCAAGGTCAGAAAACAAGAAATAATAGAGCAGAGGGCGTGACGGAAGATTACTTCTCCAGATGGCTGTGCCTCAGAGTCCAGCACTTTAATGTCAAAATGACAAATGAAACTCAGATGTGCTTTTTATTTTCTCAACAGTGAGGTCATTTCACATACTTTGATTTGTTCATGATGCCCTAATTGGCTGTATTATCAAATTATTATGATGTCTGCATTATAACTGCTTAAGGAATCTGTTTATCCAACACTAGGACATAGAAAAACAAATCTGAAGAGAAATTTTGGTATTTGTGTGCCTTCGTTTCCTTCCCAACACGTTGATTTATTGTCGTTCTTTGCTCCATTAATTATATTTAGTTTAAAGTGGCGCTTATCCCAGCATCTGTTTAGTGGAAGGAAGGGAAGCAACGTGGTCAGGTCACATCCATCAGAGCTAATAGAGGGCAAATAAAAATTACAAAAAAATAGGTCAACAAAGA